GATATTCTGTACCATTCAGGCACATTTTAAGTACTGAATACAGAGTAGAAACAGCCACCCTTTCTAGTGCAACACATTTAATTTTCACTACTGAGTAAGAGAGTGAAAGATTTATTAACTATAATTTTCAATTAGCAGATACTAGCATGCTTACAGTTCTGTTGTGGAGGCCAAGTCAAAGCTTGTAAAGTGATGTGTGGGTGTTTGCTTTCATTTGTCTCATGGTTTTCGTTATTTGGTGCACTGAATGGTTGTTATATTTGAAAGCACTGTACTCAATATTTTGAATCAATTTGTGTTGAGCTTCTTAATGTTTGAGACTTTCAGTTACATATGTAACTCATAACTTTATAGATTGAAACTTCAGCTCAAATTGGCACTAAGAAAGCATTTGTAAAATGCTCTGGAGTCAAACACTGCTCAGCAGAAGCAGAGAACAGTAGTTTATCAGTCTTCATTTCAAATGATGAGCTTGTCAATTATATTGCTCAATCAGGTCTTTAAGCTTACTTGTTCTGATTTTGCAGCATTCGTTTGAATATAATTATCCAGACTTATGCTAATTTCAGTTTCATACTACATAATTCTACACACCATTACATACATATAAATTTAGATTCTACCTAGTCAAATTATAACACTAAATAAATAAATATTTAAAGATGAACAGAATTACAGTTGTAAATGCTTTATATTTTAGCCATTTTAATTGACATAGCAACAAATTGAGTGAAACTGAATGATGTGGGAATGATTATCTTTATGTTTTACCACTTACCAAAATAAATGACATTTTGATTAACAGTAGCAGCTGATAGATCCTTCTCCCGCTATCAAGTGTATATTTTTTTTTTTTACATTGACACTTTCCAAACTGATAAATACTGAGACGTTCTCAGTTGTTTTGGTGTGACAAACTTCATCCCATATAGATTTCACACAATTCTGTTTTCCTAATAGAGGATCATTCCATTTTACATTCCATCTTTCATCCTAAATGTAAGACTACAAGTCATAACTCCAAGATTCTTTTATGAGTTCCATCTGTCCTGTGAAGTCCAGCTGGTAAATAATGAACTACTGAAGACGTGCAACTATTTCACATGTCCTCGTTAATAAAATCAGCTGTGTAAAGCAATTTGTGAACATTCAGAGATTCTTATTACATCTCAGGGGATATATATTATGACATCTTTGACCCGAAATTCTCGTAAGGATAACGTTTATAGAGATACAGTTATAGAGATTGCTGAATAACGGGATGACAGAAAAGTCTGTTATCTGAATGTAAATATGTCTACTTGCAAATCTTTCATATACAATACTGTAGGTAAGAGATGTGCTTAGGCTTCATCCCAATTTGCATACTATCCATCATGCATGCAAGATTAGAATAAGCACATCCCAAATTATAGTATACTTAAAATAGTATGCTTAAGGTGCCTAGATGGTGTACAATAAGTATGAATGTACAATTTTAAATGAATTAGATGCTAAGTTTATATCCCAAAATCAACAACACTTTGTGGCATGATGGTCATGCTGGTTTTATGAATTATTATGCCACAATACTGATGTACTCTCTTTTATCATACTCAGAAGTATGTAATTTTCCATCACCAGCAAACTGCAAACTTACAGTGCATAGCAGAAGAAAACAAATTAGGATACATCACTTCATTATGTAGGTTTGGAATTTGGTTTAGTGTTTAGTTCCATCACTACTCTCACACACCTGTCTGCAATTTTCAAGTGATCCCAAAGACATTGATTAACAGTTTCAGGTGTGTTTGATTAGAGTTGGATCTAAACTCTGAGGAAAGGAATATCTCCATAAGCCGGAATAAAACCCCTCGGCTAGTGCGATATTCTTAATTAAATGTCTACACAATTCATTAGTCCACATATATTTATTCTGGTTCAGAAAGTTTTACAGTGCAATGTATTGACATTAACATAATTATTTAATTATTAATAATTTATTTTAAATAATTTGCATATGACCTGAAACCAAGTTACTAGCTATGCAAGTTTGGTTTCATGCATCGCTGAGTTCCAAAATGTGTCAGACTGCAAATAATAGTGTTTCACCTTAGCATTGCCACAGTGGGTGCTGAAGCAGATATTAGCATAACTTAAAAGTATTTTAAAACTGTTGGTTTTCTCTTTCAGGTCAACTGCTGTCATGACAGAGCGACACTTTGCAATTACCTTTAAAGGGATAGTTCAACCATAAATAAAAATGTTCACCATTTACTCATTCTCATGTCATTCTGTCTTTATATAACACAAAAGAATATATTTTTAAGAATGTATCAGCTGTTTTTGAGACATTTTTTCTATTTTATTTTGTGTTTCACCGAAGAGAGTAAGTTTTACAATGAGATGAGGGTGAGTAAATGATTACAGAATTTTCATTTTGGGGTGAACATATTTTCCATATTTAGATTCATTCTTCAGACCTTCAATCACAATCAGCACTAAAAATCTGGATGGCCCTTTTTATGTTTTTATAATGTGTTACCGTAAGTTCTGACAAAATAACCAATACTATAGGGGTCTCTGGCTCCTAATGAAGGGTCATCAGACTGTAGAACATCTCAATCTGCCATTCTGAGAGGCTCTGAAGTGAAAGCATTACCTGTGGCATTAAAAGGCACCTGTATTGTCTTCCATGTTCACATCAGGAGAGACTCTTCACACTCTCATTCTCTGAAGGCTTCTGGAGTGCCTTTCACCTCGAAAGTGTTCCCAGTTTGGCTGAAGGTGGAAAGTGTTATTTTGTAGAATCTCGTTAAGCTGTGAAAACAGCGTGCAGTTTTTTTCTCACATTACCGGTTTTAGATGTGCAATTTGAGATGTGTAAGTCAGACAGAATTTCTCAGAAGGTCATGAATGTTGATTTGATTCCACGCACAGATGTCGAGACGAAGGGGAAGTTACAGTATCAGGTGCGAATTTTCTGAGCTATTTGTTACTAAAGCAGTAGCACAGCTCAAAACGAATCTCCAATGATGCCTTCACACTGCGCTACATTACTAATAATGAATGCCAAGCCAAATAATCCCAGTCATTCATGGCTTCCGGGTCTCACCACATCGGTGCCTCTGTAGGAAGTGATTTATCTTTCTCTGGCCACACGCTCTCTCCCCTCCTCACTTTTCATGTGTTCTGTTGCTGGGGGGCTTTGACTATAGGTGGCATTTACCTCACACACACAAACCCACCCCGTTCCCTCAGTTTCGGGGTTCAGCCTCAGGGTTGATAACTTCTCTGTTTTTCACACTGCTGGTTGCTTTGTGAACTCAAAAGGGATTGGGGTCTTATCAGTGGTATGGCAGGGCCAGGGTATCAACAACCAACAAAGATTGAATACATTCATCTGACCGCTTCACTGCTCCAGATGATTAAATGAAACACGACCGGTCAGCGATGTGAAGATGCATAGCGTGGAGCTGTGCAGATGCATTCGTGTCCCTCGGTAAACATTTGTGGCAACCTTCGTTTAATTGTTTATTCCACACATGATAAAATCTTGGTTGATAGTAGTTTTGACAGTGATACACCTGCAGGGCTCACTGTAGACACAATGCTCTCATTGGAGCTGAAGTAATATGTAAGTGATGTAATCTTTCCGTGGCCTTCAGCAGACAGGTGCAATCTCATCTCCTTTGACACACACACACAGGTTTTAAGGACATGGTGAGCTGGGCTTGTGTTTCAGAAATGAAAAAAAAATTACATGGACATCTATTTTCAGAAAAGGATGAAGCATGGCTTATGTGTAAGGCTGACTCCAGGAGTGCTTTTCCCCCTCTCTCTTGTAAGGAACAAAATCACTGGGTTTTTCTTCATATTATTGAAGAAGTTATTCTTATTGGGAGATGGGCCTTAGAAATGAAAAATCTATATTTTCAGGTGTAATAAAATGACTGAGGCTAGAAGTCACTGCCTGCATCTACTGCCTGATATGTCTAGAACAGATCGTGGTAGCAGTACATTTTCACACCTAATGTGAAAAAGTGAAAAACTAAGCATGAATGTTGCCAATATAGACGTGCCTCCATGACATTAAGGATTTTCTTCAATGGTAATATTGGATGGTTCACTAGTCTGGCTCCGAACTCAATAGGAATAAGTTAGAGAGAGGGCTTAGTGGCAGTACTTCAGTCCCACAGGGTGCTTAGCATCACTTTCTAAACTTCGCTAATTCATCCAGCCACCCAGGTCCAGCAGCACCCTCTTCAGGACGCTGATGACCTTTGCATCCGGCCCCCTATGCCATGCCCACTGGACAGCCCTTATAAAGGGAGCACATCCCTGAGGCATTGAGGGGTTGCTCACTTCACAAGCCACTAAACAGAAATGATAGCTGAGCTGATGGGGACCAAAGCTCATCTGGCCCTTCTAGGAACACATCTCCCCAAACAGGCCTGTGACATTGGGTTGGATTGAACAAGGACTATGGAGATTTGCGGCACTCTGAATAGAGTGGCTTTCCTCCAGTGACGAAACAGAACAAGAGTGGTTTCACACAGGCTTGGCTTAAGCCTTATCTTTGACTGGAGGGACCGAAAGAAGGGTAGGAGGGAGGTGGATGTAAGACAGAGATTTTGCATGTTCAAAACAAGGAAGGAATGACTGAACAAGGAATTGAATTGATGCAGCTGTAGGTAGATCAGCACTGCTTTCATTACTCAAGGTGGTGCACGGTTTTCTGAAAACAATAGCTGCTACTGGTTGTGTTAATCTCTGTAAACATAAGAGGCACAATTGTAGAGATCTAGTCAAAGCATTCATTTCCAGTGAAATGAATTCATTTCTACAACCAGTAACTCCTCCACTGCTCATTCTGTCTTATTATCTGAAGAAATTTGAAAGAGAATTATTGATGTGGATTACAGATAGCAAATTCACAAATTCTAAAGTGTTGCTGTAATATGATTTCCTGGTTTGAAACATTGGAAAACATTTGACAGATCAAACAATCTGTGCTGTAGTTCCAGGCATCAGTGAATGAGGGATCAACTGGTGTGGTAGTGAACCTGACGGTGGACGACAGAGACGACCCAGCCACTGGAGCCTGGAGAGCTATCTACTCCATCATCAACGGAGACCCCAACCAGAACTTTGAGATACAGACCAATCTGGACAACAATGAAGGGATGCTATCGGTGGTAAAGGTACACAATGTTCAATTGCATGATTGTCTTGTAATGGTGAAGGCACATGAAGATCCCCTTATGGGACTTGAACCTATCAAATTTAGGTTACCAATTGAGATCTTAACCACTTATACAAAAGACTTAATAATTGTTTAAGGATCTTGTTTGGTTACTGAAAATTGAAAGTATCAAGCCCAAAAAGGGGACCTTCATTAGCCGCTAATATAGGATTTCTAAGAAATTCACTTAGCTGCAGAGATAAAGTGGTAAATTTAGGGTAGGGATGTCCAATCTATCCCCACTTTCTGTAGAGCAGAGGTGTCCAGTCCTGCTCCTAGAAGGTCAACATCCTTAAGAATTTAACTCCAACTTGCCCAAACACACTTGTCTGGATGTTTCTAGTAATCCTGAGGACCTTGATTGGCTGGTTCTGGTGTGTTTAATAAGGGTTGCAGCTAAACTCAGGATAGTGGCCCTCCAGGAGCAGGATTGGAAACCCCCAGTGTGGAGTTTATCTCCAAACCAAATGAATCACACCTGAACCAGCTATTTAATGTCTTCAGGATTACTATAAACTTCCATGAAGGTGTCTAAGAGCTCAACTCTCCAGGAAAGTGGCCCTATACAATAACAATAATAATGATTAAGACTAATGATAAAGAGTCATTCGTTTGGTATAGTTACTTGCTTGTTAGTTAATTGCTCTTACATAATTCCTTTCGCCTGTTGTCTTTTTCAGCCTCTGGACTATGAAAGTGCAATGTTTCACACACTGCTGATAAAAGTGGAAAATGAAGACCCTCTGGTTCCTGACGTTGTGTATGGCTCCAGCTCTACAGCGACTGTTTACATTACAGTTATGGATGTGAATGAAGGACCAGTGTTCTTCCCAGATCCTCTGGTTGTCATCAGAAGAGAGAATATCCCTGTAGGGAGCTTTGTGGCCATGCTGAACGCTACTGACCCAGACTACCTACAAACCCAGAGCATAAGGTTGGTGCCTTTATATTATGATCCTGTCCCAAATGTGATTTGTCTTTGTTCCTTCAAGTCCACACTTTCGCTATATAATGAGTGAGTGAGTGACGTGACATGTGGCCAAGTATGGTGACCCATACTCGGAGTTAGTGCTCTGCATTTATCCCATCCAAAGTGCACACACACAGCAGTGAACACACACACACTGTGAACACACACCCGGAGCAGGGGGCAGCCATTTTTTGCTGCGGCGCCCGGGGAGCAGTTGGGGGTTCGGTGCCTTGCTCAAGGGCACCTCAGTCGTGGTATTGAAGGTGGGAGAGAGCGCTGTACATTCACTCCCCCCACCTACAATCCCTGCCGGTTCGAGACTCGAACCCGCAACCTTGGGTTACGAGTCCGACTCTCTAACCATTAGGCCACGAATTCCCCTCACGACTAATGCTGCTTAGGCTGTTGGGTAATTGTCAACTGTGGTGTGCAGCAAAAGGTTGTGTTGAGGGAGCATCTCTGGCACAAACGGGAAGCTCAGTAGCACCTTTCTGATTTATATAATAACAAATTTAACCAAGTGCACCATTTCCAGAGCCAGTATTGCCTGTTTCTTTTTCCGTTATACTGATTCTGCGCTAGACGTGGGAGGAATAACCTTTACAAATTTGGAAACAAATTTCACATACATAGTTTGAAACTAATTTCACAGTTTAAAAGTTTGAGGTTTTTCCTGGTTACATTCTCACTGGATTCTGACAGGGTAGTTTGCAATGACAGCACAAACTAATCAAACGACGGTGAGCAGGATAGCATGACCCCTGCCACTTAGACATGTCTCAGCTTAGTTATTCTTGTTTTACCATTCTTTGTCTTGTTTCCAGTATATTTGCTGTGATCTCAGAGTAATGTCTGACATGTGAGCACACAGCTCTGCATGAGAGAGTCTGACCATCTGTGCAGACATTCATCTTGCTGCCCAACAACATGATTGACCAAGTACTTGGAGCCACTACCTCTAAAATGATCCTTAGGGACTTGTGACAGATCATTGCTTTAATGTAGCTTTTTACTTTCCTTTAAGCCCCATTACATTATCAACAAGGTAATGCAAAAAGGCTGCTTTTATCCAAAGCCAATTACATTGCGTTCAAGGTAGTGTTGTCACGGTACCAAAATTTCAGTATTCGGTACCGATACCAGTGAAAATCCACAGTTCTCGGTACCAATTTCGGTACCAAAGCAAAACACAAAAACATGCTAATTGAACAAAACCAATGCCATTCTTTATACTTATTTAAAATTGTTTCAAGTTTTTCCACAAGTAATAAAAGTATGAAAAAAATAAACAAGTTTCACCCAAAAGTTTAGTCATAGTTCTGCTGCCACTGAAAAACATCTGTAAACTGTTGTCTGTTTTAGGGTTCGTTTCGAGGGGGTCCCCGTTAAAAATCGCGGTCCGGTGATAAAATACGCATGTTTTGGCGGGGGTCCCCTGGTAAAATTCGCATTCCAGGGGCTAAATATCACGTTAATGGGGTCGTTTTTCAACCCGCGGACATGAAAAACAACCCGCGGCAACAGTGTTAAGCAGCCCAATTCCGCGGGAAAACCGCGGACTTGGCAACACTGGAAGAGGATAGCTTTCTGATAGCGCATCAAGAACCGGGTTGACCGGGTACTCGGTACCACCGGTACTTAAGAAAACCTGGTACCGTAACGTTTTCATTTTTTTAGTACCGACTTGGTACCGAAATACCGGGTCTTTTGACAACACTAGTTCCAAGGTACACATTTACATTTGATCAGTTTTTGATTTCCCTGAGAATCAAACCCATAACCTTGATTTTGCTATCCCCATGCTCTACTGTTTGCTACAGGAAAGCTAACGTTTTATAATCAGAAAATAGCTGTGTGCATTTGAGCACATTTCTCTGTCCCTACTTCATTCCCTCAACCTTCTTTGCTGTAGATGTGGTGTGTACACATTTGCATGTGTTATGTGATCTCAGTGTAAGCTGTGCCACGCTTGTTCAGATCAGGAGAATTTAAACAGGTTCCTGTGATTCGTTGTGTCCGCTGAGCGTGTATGAAACTCACAGTATGAAACTCTGCGCACCGCTGTGATCATGTGCTCTGCCATTATTACTGCTCTGTCCTGCTAGTTAGAGCGAACCCTCCTCATCACAAACCATATGAGCTCTCTCCGTTCTCTTTCTCATTGTGTCCTCTTCATTCTTCATCTCTTCTGTATCTGTCCTCTCACTGCCTGCCTCACCTCTTTTGATCTCCTTTTGCCAGTAAAAGGCTCTTTGAAGTACCATAGCTTTCACCTGAGGCTATAAGTTGCAGGACTGAGTAAGAGAATAGAACGGGCTGCAGGAAAATGAAAAGGAAGGACAGAGGGAAAGCTTGAGAGAAGACAACAGAAGGAAGACAATGCTTTGCATGTCCTATCTATCTATCTATGTATCTATCTATCTATCTATCTATCTATCTATCTATCTATCTATCTATCATCGATCATTCTATCGTTCTATCTATCTATCGTTCTATCTATCATTCTGTTTACCTTTTTGTCATTCTATCTGTTGTTCTATCTATCTTTCTATCACTCCATCATTCTATCACTTTTTCTGTACTTTTTTCCCCATTTCCTGTAACACAGTTCTGATATGGCATGCAGGTCTTATAAGGCTTATATTAGCAGAAGCTGCCCCATAGATCGCCCCCTAGCAAGGACAAAGAGTACAAAAGAAAGTGAAACCCCATTGATCTGCCTTTCTACCTGTGTCCTATGGTACTTCTTGAGGACTGCATTGTAAAAGATATGCAATTAGGCTTTCTTGATAAAAGACAAGCATTAAAATTGAGGGATGGCAGCAGAATTAGTAGACTTATTAAAAACTACAGATTGTGGAATTGTTATTGGGATCAACAGAAGTATTGCAGCCATTATAGACCTTTGATGAGAAGCCTGGAGAAGTGTGTGCACTGCTGTGAACATTGCTGTCAAAAGATGAAGTAGAATTCAAGTTTGAAGTTGTATTTGTTTCTATAGTATTAGTTTATATTCTAAAAACATAGACCATAAAAACCATACATTTAGCTTGATTCTTTTGTGAAATAAAGCTTGCCACACTTCAGGATCATTATGCTTTTCAATGGCACCCTGTTGCAGATATGTTTGAAGATCTCATTTGAGCTCAAATCAGTCTTTATCAGACGTTCCTCTGAGTGCTCCTGAGGAGCATGTCAGACGAGGTTAAGATTTTGTGGTCTCTGATGTGTTTGCTCAAAGGTTTTTAGAGTTTTCTTCAGTCTCCACACCTTTATTTAGCTCTGTCAGGCTTGTCAGGATAAGGTGAGCTGTGAATCATTGCTAGCCTGAGGGAAATCTCGAACACAGACACTATCAGAATTATGAGAAGGCTCGTTGGGTGCGAGCTCCCTCACCGCCATAGGTCATTAGGAGTGATGCTGAGGAGATGTCTGTGAAATACACTGGGTAGAATTTGTAAAATAGATTCAATTCTGTTTGCGTTAGTTTATATTAGCAAAGTTTTTGTTATTGGCCCAGTAGTTGCTTTCGAAAATCCTACTACATACACAGAGTTTACATTTATACATTTAAATTATACAATTTAAATTACAATTTAACTTACAGTAACTGTCCAAATAGTTTTTTTTATACTTACAGTAAATATCCTTTTTTTTGTGTGTTTGTTTATTTTTCAAATTTTTCATTTAAAAAAAGTTTAGACAATGACTGTAATAAGTGACATATTTTTATAACACATAAGCATACTACACTTCAGTCATTGTTATTGCTGAAAATATTAGGGGCCCATTCATACACCCAGCATAATGTGGTGCCAGGCGTGACGCAAGTGTTTTTTGCTAGTTTCAGCCCGACGCAGTTATCATTTTCACGTCCTGCGCCACGTTGTTTAAATAGCAAATGCATTTGCACCCATTTGTGCGCCCATGGGCGTGCTGGTCTGAAAATTAGGTGTGTTCAGGCGCATTGTTGTCGCATTGCTATTTTGAGGCAACTGAAATGCGCCATTGACCAACTGAAACCTTGTCTAAAGTCAATGGCGCAATATTTATATATATATATA